GGCTGCTGGATAAAACCTGGAACTAAACGCTATTCCTATCTATAGCAGGAAGGGATCAAGATACAAGATATTTTGTAGTTGCAAACATTTCATGCTATATTATTATTTTTTTATATAGCAGAAATTCTCACAGTTACTAAACTCTTGTTATATCTGGAAGACAAAACTAAAGTAAAACAAAAACATTTGGTAATGAATTTTGTTTCCGTTCTATTTAAAGTTGTAGGGAAATCATATTTAAATGTCAAATCTTTCTGGCTTAAACATGTATATAAATGTTCTCTTTATCAGATGGTATTGTCCCAAAAGTTAGAAATTTCTATTTAAAAAAAAAAATCCTGTCTTAATTTGTTTTTATTTTTTAATGTTAACTCATTTAAAAGAATCGCACAGGCGTTTGAATCTAGGCCGCCTGCGGGTTGTTTTTCCCCTGCATGACACATAACCGGCCACAAAAAGGATTTATTTTGGTCTTCTTTCTGCTGCAGCTTCCTGTGAAACCTTTAGAGACAGATTTACATTTAAAATACAAACCTTCAGCTCTGCTGACTGATAAAGTGGCTTTAAATAAGGCAGGGTGTAATTAGGAGTATCAAAGTAAAGGGGCCTGAATACAAAAGGCACAAAAAGGTTTTTAGGTTTGATTTAGTCAAACATTCAAACAAACTATGAATCATTTTCTTAACAACTAATTTTACTGTGTTTTGATCTGTAAATAACCATTAAATAAAATGTAAAAAGGGAGCTATACAGCATTTTGCTTTAAAAAATCATAAATATATACCTCATATCGTAATTCATCAATGATTTTTACAAAACTGTTTAAAAGGGACCCAAATGTTAATATATCTTTGTTGATAGATTTTATGCTGCTAAAAATATAAGATCTTTACCCATTTTCTGATAATGTTACTAGATTAGTCAGTCAGATTAAATTCTGAGAAAAAAAAGTCAGAATTCTGAGATTATGGTCAGAATTCTGAGGGAAAAGACAGAATCGGTCTCCGACAAGTGACGTCAATTGTTTACCTCGGGCGCGGTAAACTACGCCTTTTCCACCTAAAATGG